CGCCCTCAGGGTCGAGTTTTCCCGTGGCTGCAGCCGGCGGAGCGCGGGCACCCACAGCCTGAGGACCCAGCTGGCACCTCCCGAAACTCAGCGACGCGCGAGGGCGTGGTCCTTCCCCGGACTTGGGCGCTGGAGCTCGGCGTTGGGGCGGAGTTCGCCTTTACTGTTGCCACTTAACCCGTTATTTACACACTTTGCGCCACCGACTTTTCCGAAGGAAGGCAGGTATCTCTGTGAAGAGGAAAATTTCTTCGCTTACCCAGCGTTGGCACTTGGGACCCTGACCAGTTGCCCAGTGCCAACTAGGGTGGGACATTTCCTGGCCCTATTGGGCTGGTGTTTTGTTTTTGGCGGCTCCCCTCATTCCGGAGACACCTGTCACAGCAGAAGGAACTTGTTAGGACAGTACTTGACTTTGCAACTTCTGTTGAACTGATTCCCACTTTACAACTGCGAGGGGTTTGGATGGCGTAACTGGCTTATATGCATGTGAGACTTGGAAAGGGGTGGGGGCGGGTCTGCCTCAGCACAGTCTGGGATGTGTGGGTTCTTGCCTTCCTGCAGGAAAGAATTTAAGACAGGCTAGGTCAGTGGTGGGCAAACTGCAGCCTCTTGAGTGTGGCTCTTCCACAAAATACCACATGCGGGGCGCACTTACAGTGCGATTGAAACTTCGTGGCCACAGGAGGGGCCAAAGAGCCGCATGTGGCTCAAGAGCTGCAGTTTGCTGACCACTGGGCTAAGTGATTTTGAGAGTGTCTGCCCCCTGGTGGTTAGTGTGTGTCATAGTGACCAGCTGGACACTTAGCATATTAGCCTTTTATATATGTCTATATATAACCTAAGTGATTATTATGACCAGTCCACCAAATGACCGGTGGACTGCTCAACCAGTCGCTATGATGACACACTGACCACCAGGGGGCAGACACTCAATGCAGGAGCTGCCCCTGGTGGTCAGTGCACTCCCACAGCCAACCTCCCACTCTCTCCCCGCTGCTAGCCAACCTCCTGCGGTCCCTCCCCCTGGCCAGACAGATCTGATCGCCCTGATTGGCCTGATCGCAGCCAGGCAGAGGCACCTCACCCATGCGCGAATTCATGCACCAGGCCTCTAGTAATGTGTAAATGTTAGATGAAGACATTGGAGTAGTATAAAGTAGTCAGATGATGAGAACAATTTGTTTGCTAAACCTAGGCCTTAGAAAACCATTGAAGCAAAATTTCAAGCAAGGAATAAACTTCACACCTATTTAGGAAAAGTTACTGTGGTCAGTAAAGAGATTACTTTGGAGATGGAGCAAACCCAGAGGCAGTTATCAGGTAGCTAAAGCAGCAACCTACAATCTACACTGCTGCCAGAATACTTTTCTAAAGAGGTCTCCTAGCCCTAGCTGGTTTGGCTCAGTGGATAGAACATCGGCCTGTGGGCTAAAGGGTAACGGGTTTGATTCTGGTCAAGGACACAGATGGGTTGGGGGCTCGATCCCTAGTAGGGAGCATGCAAGAGGCAGCCCATCAATGATTCTCTCTCATCATTAATGTTTCCATCTCTCTCTACCTCTCCCTTCCTTTCTGAAATCAATAAAAAAATATTTTAAAAAAAGAGGTCTTAAGACAGAATGCTAAACTTTTGGAGTCAAAACATAGTTTACAGACAGATGTCCTAATTCAATTCTCTCAATTTATACCAGGGGACTAGAGACTGAACAGAGTAAAGGGACTTGCCTGTGACCTCATAGATAGTGTTAGAACAAATAGTGCTAGAACTCATCTTACATACTATACTTAATTCTTTCCGAAAACATTCATGGAGTTACATTCTTTGCAATTTAAACACAAATGCCCAAAGGCTGGTCTCTTATTCCTTTGGGATCCAGGTTCTATTATGTAGCTGGACAAATCGCCCCAGAGCAGCCTCTGCAGTTCTTCAATTCCTGCTTAGCATCTGCTCTTTAGGATTCCTTGGAGCTCAACTCTGTACTTTAAAAAAAAAATGTTTTTTATTGACTTCAGAGAGGAAGGGAGAGGGAGAAAGAGATAGAAACATCCTATATAATATAGAGGTGATATGCAAATTGACCCTCACACTATCACACAAATGGCCACCCCCATGTGGCCAAAGATGGCCACCACAAGATGGCCAGCAGGAGAGGGTAGTTGAGGGTGACCAGGCCTGCAGGAGAGGGCAGTTGGGGGCGGGGGGAACCAGGCCTGCACAGGAGGGCAGTTGTGGGGGGACCAGGCCTCTAGGGGCAGGCAGTTGGGGGCAACTGGGCTGGCAGGGGAGGATGGTTGGGGGCAATCGGGCTGGCAGGGGAGCAGTTAGGCATTGACAGGCTGGCAGTGGAGTGGTTAGGGAGTGATCAGGCTGGCAGGCAGGTGAGCAGTTGGGAGCCAGTATTCCCGGATGGTGAGAGGGATGTCCGACTGCCGGTTTAGGCCCGATTCCACATTGGGCCTAAACCAGCAGTCGGACATCCCCAAAGGGGTCCCAGATTGGAGAGGGTGCAGGCTGAGATGAGGGACAAACCCCCTGCCCCCCACACGAATTTTGTGCACCGGGCCTCTAAGAGAGAATAATAGAGAATCATTGCTTGGCTGTCTCCTATATGCCCCCTACTGAGGATCGAGCCCACAACCCAGCATATGCCTTGAGTGTAATCCAACTGAGGACCCTTGGCTGACACTCTATCCACTGAGCCAAAACCAACTCAACTCTGTACTTTATTTCACCTAGCACGTTTTGCAAGAAAAATCTTACATTATCTTGTCCAAAATATTGCTATATGATTACTTATTTAATGCCTGTCTTCATCATTAGGCTACAGGCTTCCTGGGGACAGGTTTTGAGTCATTGCTGTTAAATTCAAGGCCTACGGTAGTGTTCACATTTAGTAGATATTAGTGATAACCTGACAGTGAGCCAGGTTTCTTTTCCCCCTGGGGTTGTGTCTCGAAACACTGAAGAATGTCTCCACAGACTAGAAGATGTAAGCAAAAGTGTGGAAAATTTAGTGCAAGCAGATTCAGACTCCCTGAAAGGGGAGGGGAAACCAATATGGGCTGTCCCCCTGAAGCCTGGTAGTCCAGGGGTATATATTTGCTACAAGCCTGTTGCTATAACTATCTGTGTCATCACCTCAATTGTTCTTGCCCAGCAAAGGACCTGAACTTTCCCTGTTCCTGTGTGTTCTTTCTCTATTCCTACGCTGAACTTTCTCTGTTTCTATGCGTTCTTTGTACACCTTGTTGCTGCAGGCCCTCGTTTTCCCATGCCTCCTGCTTTAAGCCCAGAAACATTTTATTATTTCTGCTTGGTTGATTTCTGTGATTAGGCTGCTCAAACTGCCATGTCTGCCTCTGCCTATGTTCCACCTGCCTTTGTTTTCCACTGGACCCTACCCTATCTGTCTGGGTTTCAAGTTAACCCTCTCATTAGGGTTTGGCTGGTGACACAGGCTGTGAAAGAATTCACAACTGAGAGAAGAGACAGATGCAGGGAGGAACTTTATTTTACTTTCCAAGAGAGGAAAGGGCTGGTGTATTGCTAGTCAATACAGGGCGGGAAAGATAGAGTGGATTGTACTTTTAAACAGTTGCTGTTGCTAAGTGACAAGGAAGGGAGGGGGGCTGTGTTGATGTTGAGCAGATACCAGGGAGGTTGTCATGAGAAATTAGTTTGTTTGCATTCCAGGATTCAGTCCAGCAGATGTCCTAAGGAGGTGTCTTGTCAGTATTTTTCCCAAGCCTGTAAAACATGTTTGGAGCAAAAGTTATGAAGAGTTCAAAAGAGGCTTGTTTGAAGGGGAGGGGGGAAGGGAACTTTCTACTAACTAGAGCAGTAGTTCTCAACCTTGGCTGCACATTAGAATCACCTGGGAATCTTTTTAAAATTCTGATTCCTTGGCCTCATCCTCTGGAAATTCTGTTTCTTTGTTACTAATGTTGTGGCCTCACCCCATAATAAAGAAGCAGAATTTCCGGAGGATGAGGCCCAGAAATCAGGATTTTAAAAAGATTCCGAGGTTATTCTAATGTGCAGCCAAGGTTGAGAACCACTGAACTAGAGACTCCTGGGTGAGAATTATCCCTGAGCTAAGAAAATAGCAGGGAGGAGGGGGATGCAAGAGTACAACCTTGAGAGTGCCTTATCATGTCCAGTCATTTGAACAGAGGAGCCAACAGCCTCAGGGTTTAATTTCCAGGTGCTTCTCACAAATCGTGGAAGGCCACAGCAAAGAAAGAGAGGCCTTTTTTTCTGTCCTTACAGTAGGTACTCAATGGTTACTTGTAGAAGGAATGAGTAAAAATGCTATTCACCTATTCATTTAACAAATATTTGTGAGAGCCTGCTGTGGGGGCCCTGACCAGAGTACGCCTGATGTTAAAGGCCCATTTGCCACATGCCTGCATGAAGGCAATAACACAGCAGTATCACTATGTTAAAGGCCCATTTGTCATGTGCATGTGCGAAGGCAATGACTATACATACTGCGCAGGCGCACCCTTATGTAACCCACTTATGTTAATGTAACACAGATGTCACTAATTGGCACAAAGCCTCGTCTGTTTGAGTTAGTATAAAAGGCGCTACTAACCAACTAGGAGCTGGCTGCTTTGTTTGCAATAAAGCATATCCCATCTCCCTGTGGCTGCTCATGTCTTTTTCCAGTCCCCAGCATCCAAGAAGTCCCTTCACTGGCAGAGGAGCTCAGACCCACCACCTGCTCTGTGATAGAATAGAGCAAGCTTACAGATTAGTGCATATTCAGTTAATATTGCTTGTGTTGGAGTAAGTAGCTAGTAATTTGGAAGGGAGAAAAGCTGGATTTCTCCCTCACTCCCAGGGACAGTGAAATAAATTTTAGATGGATTCAGGATTTAAAGCCCTGGGTTTAACTGAGGTGGCTGTGGCAGCATGGCTGGGGCCAGACTGGAAATACAACTAAATTGGGGAACATTCACCCAAAATTATCAACTGAGGTCCAGATGAAGAGACATATCAAGGAAAGACAAAAACACCTGGAGACTGGTAGGAAGAGTGAAGTCTCAAGAGTGGCTGACCCAGCTCCCATGAGCAGCAGGATGAGCGTAAGGAGGGAACTCTCGGCTACGGGAGGGTCTTTTCCCTGAGAAGGTTGAGTCCCGGAACCCAGGCTGGAAACAGCCCAACTGCCCATCAGTAGATGAGTGGGAAAAAAGCTGTGGTGATTTATACCATGAAATACTATGCAGCAGTAAAAATAAGGATTTCTTACCCTTTGAGACAGAATGGAGGGACCTGGAGAGTATTATGCTAAGCGAAATAAGCCAGTGAGCCCTGGCAGGTTTGGCTCACTGGTTAGAGTATTGGCCCATGGACCAAAGGGTCAATGGTTCAATTCCCAGTCAAGGATACATACCTTGGTTGCAGGCTCAGTCCCTGAACCTGATCTGGGTGTGTGGGAAAGGCAACCCATTAAAGTATCTCTCACACATTGATGTTTGTTTTTTTCCCCTCTCTATCTCCTCCTCCTCCCTCCCCTCTCTAAAAGAATGAACGAAAAAACTATTGGGTGAAGATTATAAAAACAAAAAAAGCCAGTTAAAGAAAGATAAGTATCACATCATCTCACTTACATGTGGAATTTCATGAACAAAATAAACTGATGAACAAAATAGATGCAGAGACATAGAAGCATGGAACTGACTGATGAATCTTAGAGGGAAGGCTGGGGTGGGTTGGGAGAGATTAACTAAATAACTTATATATGCACTAGATTCTGGTGCATGAAAATTCATGCACTGGAGCGGGGGTCCCTCAGCCTAGCCTGCCCCCTCCCATAGTCCAGGAGCCCTCAGGGGCGGGAGGCAACCCGACGATCAGGGGAAGGCGATGCCCCATCACACCTCTGTTGCTGCCACTGCCGGCAGCACAAGCCTCAGCTGGCCCTAGTTACCTGTGCCTCAGGTGGGCCTGGGCAGCTGGGCAGCTGACAGTAGAGGCTTGCCTGTGCCTAGGGCTGGCCGTGGGCGCTGGGGGGCTGAAGGGACTGGGGGACTCCGGAGCAGGCTGCGTGGAGCGCCTGCTGCCCCAGTGAGGCTGAGG